TGTGTGTGTGTGTGTGTGTGTGTGTGTGTGTGTGTGTAGGTGCTGGGGATCACGAGTCCAGGGCAGCCAGGGTCCTTGTCCAGAGCTCACACGCTAGGAAGGGCTATGTGAAGAAATACATGTAGGCCACGCCAGGTGACAGTAAGTGCTGAGAAGCTAGCCTGTGGGGTGGGTTGAGGAAGGCTTCTCCGAGGAGCTGGTGTTTGAGCAGAGGCCTCGCTGAAGGGAGGGCAGCACAGCCTTGGGACTCGGGGTAGGGCAGGACATGAGGTCGTGAGGGTGGCTTCAGAAGCCACAGAAAGGATGTAGGGTTTTATGTTTTAGCGTGTTGGAGGAGTCCAGGGAGTGTGAGAAGTTCCTTTTTTTTCCTTTCTTTCTTTTTTTAACGTTTTCGTTATTTCTGAGAGAGAGTGCAAGTAGGGGAGGGGCAGAGAGAGGGGGACAGAGGACCCAAAGCTGGCTCTGAGTTGACAGCAGTGAGCTTGACTCAGGGCTCAAGTCAGGAGCTCACGACCTGAGCCCAAGTCAGATGCTGGATGGACTGAGCCACCCAGGCGCCCCTGGAGTGTGAGGAGTTCCTTAAATTGTCTGGTCTGCAACTTGGGCAACTGAGCTTCAGTTACTTTATCTCCATAACTGCCCCAGGAGATAGGCAGAGTACCCATTATCCCTGCTGTGCAGAGGAGGGCACCTAGGGGCGGGGCCGGAGGTTTGATTTTTATCTAGAGTCAAGTTGGGAGGACAGCCTGTTCCCTGTGGGAGGCTCCTGATAACCGCCTCCTTAGAATTTCACCAGAAAGTCAACTGAGGCCTGGGTTTAAAGGGCAAGTTCTCTCTTTCTCTCTCTCTCTCTCTCTCAGTCTCTCTCTCCTGGGACTCCCCTGTCCTGCCTGGAGCTCCATAGTCAAAAACCAGTGAGCAGGGCAGCATCCGGAAAGCTGGGAAATTGAGCTGAGAGGCTGCTTGGGGCAAAGCTAACAGTGAGGAGTCCCTGGATTGTGTCCCAGCGTCACCGAGGACCGGCAGTGTGAACCTAAAGCAGCCACTGTCCCTCTCTGGAGCTCAGAATCTCCACCTGTAAGATGAGGGGGCTGCCCTGAGCTGCGGTCTGGCCTTGTACTTCCCACAGGGCTGTCTGTATCTTCACAAGACAGTCTGTGCCTGCATGGTCACATCCGGTAGCCACTAGGTGTGTGCGGGTATCGGGCACCTGAGTTTGGCTGGTCCAAACTGAGATGTGTGAACTGCATCCCAACACAGAGCACCGAAATTTGAAGACTTCGTGCAAAGCATGTTTATAGAATATGAGCTGTCAGCACAGAGCCCGATGCGGGGCTCGAGCCCATGAGTGGGAGATCTTGACCTCAGTCCAAGTCGGACGCTCAACCGACTGAGCTACCCAGGCCCCTCCCCCCCCCCCGCCCCCATGAGGGCGGAGATTTTTAAAGTATCACCTTTATGGAGGAATGATTGACAGAAAACACAATTTAGCAATTCTAGGTGTGCACTTCAGTGAATTGTGACAACTGTATACAGCCTTGTGACCACCACGAGAGTCAAGATACAGAAGTTCCATCACCCCAAAAAGTTCCCTTGTACCCCTTCTTTTTTCTTTTTTTAAATTAACAAAAATTTTAAAGTAATCTCTATACCTAACATGTGGCTCGAACTCATGACCCTGAGATCAAGAGTCACATCCTCTACAGACTGAGCCAGTCAGGTGCCCCCGACCTTGGGTCTCTTCTTAGGTCATCTCCCTCCTCCAGTCCTGGCCCCTGGCACCCACTGATCTGCTTGTGCCATTGTAGTTTGGTCTTTTTTGGAATATCATACAAATGGAATCATAGTATGTGGTCTTTTGAGTCTGGCTTTTTACATGAAGCTAATGCTTCCGAGTTTCCTCCAAGATACTGTCTGTATTAACAGTTTGTTCCTTTTTATTGCTGGGTAGTAATCTGTCATATGGGTACAGGACAACCTGTTTATCCATTCTCCTTGTGATGGGCATTTTGATCATTTCACTAATAGTCAAAATAGTTTTTGACTGTTATGAATAAAGCCACTGTGAACATTCCTGTATGTCTTTGCTTGTACATGTGATTTCATTTCTCTTGTGAGTAAATATTTAGTAGGAAGATTGCTGTTTGATAAACGCACTTTCAGACTGATTACAAATTGAGGGCACAAAGACTGTCTGTAATACTAGTTGAACAAATGGTGTCCTGGAATTTGGATTAAAAATGTATTTATTTTATTTATTTTATTTTATTATTAT